GTTTTGCAGGTGCACATTGTGGTGGGGCAGGAGGTGGTGCTCCAGCATTGAGTAACCCACCTCACTGCTCCCGACCATCGTCCAGGCTCCAAGTGCCTCCCTGGACTCTGCCAGCCTACCAGCGGAAACCCATCTTAACCTGCATTTTTCTCCTTAAAATGAAAAAAATCCATGTTTTACCACATTTTCCCATCATGAGTGGAAAACGTGAATCCCTGCTCATGAGTCATGTGCCCAACTCAGAATCATTTTATTGCCCTCCCCTTGTTCACATCCTTTCTGTAGTGGAGGAGCCAAAACTGGACACAGGGCTCCAGATGTGGCTCCAAAAGATCAGAATAGACAGGAATTATTACTTCCCTTGATCTGCTGGCAATGTTCTCACTAATGCAGCCCAATATGCTGTTAGCTTTCTTCACAACTAGGGCACACTGCTGACTCATATCCAGCTTATTGTCCACTGTAACCCCCGGCTCCTTTTCTGCAGCGCTGCTGCCCAGCCAGTCACCCCCAGCCTGTACCGGTGCGTGGGGCTGTTTCACCCTATGTGCAGGACTTAGCACTTGTCCTTACTGAACCTCATAAGATTTTTTTGCCTCAATCCTCTGATTTTTCTAGCTGAATCCTAGCTCTACCCTCCAGTGTATCTACTACACCCCCAGCTTGGTGTCATCTGCGTAGTTGCTGAGGGTGCACCCCATCCCCTCTTTCAGATAGTTAATGAAGATATTGAACACTTCCAAGTTGCCCCCACACGCTCTAAAAACTTCCTGGATTGCCTGTACCCTGATGTGTTGCCTTCCCAGCAGATGTCCAGGTGATTGAAATCCCACATGAGAACCAGGGTCTGTGATCAGGAAACTTCCTTTACCTGTTTGAAGAAAGCCTCATCCACCACTTTCTCCTGGTCTGGTGGTCTATAGCAGAGTCCCCACCATGGCATCACCTTTGTTGCTCTCCCCTCTGACCCTAACCCAGAGACTCTCAAGAGGCCTCTCTCCAGCTTCATACTGGAGCTCTGAGCAATCATATGGCTCTTTTACATAGGGCACATCTACAGGTTACCTTACAGTGACATAGCAACATGCTACATCACCGTATGGTGCCCTACAGCTACGTAGAGATCACATGTGTCTACAAGTGGCCGCCAGCTACATTGCCATAGCAGCACACTCCCCAAGTCTAGTGCACCACTATGGTGATGTACCTGGGAAATTCACCCATGCACAGCGTACATAGCACAATAACAGCATGTACGCACCATGCTTTCCTACTTCCAAAAGGAAGTACTAAAACACGGCACAGTAGCAACTTCGCCATATGGCAATGTGCAGACACACCCATAAAGTGCAATTCCTCCTCCACTTCTCCCCGCCTGTCCTTCCTGAACAGTTTGTACCCATCCCTGACAGTGCTCCAGGCATGTGAGCTCCCACCAAGTCTCTGTTATTTCAATCACATCATTGGTCTGTGCCTGTATGAGGATTTCCAGTTCTTCCTGCTTCTTTCCCAGGCTCCATGCGCTCATGTACAGACACCCGAGGTAAGTAGCCGATCACCCTTTCTCAGGAAGAATGAGGAGGCCTCCCCTCTTGCCCCCTCTTCCTTGTGCTTCCTCCAGGTCTCCCACTTCCCCTCTTATCTCAGGGCTTTGGTCTTCATCTCTAGTGAACCTAGTTTAAGCCCCCCTCACTAGGTTAGTGAGCCTGTCTACCAAGATGCTCTTCCCTCTCTTTGTCAGGTGGATCCCATGTCTTCCCAGCAATCCTTCTTGGAACAACACCCCATGGTCAAAAAAGCCAAATCCCTGCTGGCGACACCACCTGCACAGCCATGCATTGATCTGTTGGATGTGTCCATTCCTGCCCCAGCCCTTCCCCGTGACTGGAAGGATCACGAACATCACCTGGGCCCCTGTCTCCTTCACCCTTGCACCCAGAGCCTTGTCATGACTCTTGATCTGCTCAGGGTCTCCCTTGGCAGTATCATTGGTGCCCATATGGATGAGCAGCATAGGGTAGTAGTCAGAGGGTCGGACGAGTCTCAGTAATCATTCTGTGACATCTCTCTTGACACCATTATCTTAGCAATGGTCGAGTGCCGGGCTAAGACACAGCCTCCATGTGGTGGTTGTTGCCCCCAGGATGGGGAAGCAATCACCTCAGGACTGCATCAGCTGTGGGTCCTAGGAGCTGTGGTGGAGAGCTGACAACCCCTGGCTTCGGGATCCTCTCATCCCATCAGCTCCCCACCCCAATCATACCCACTTTCCATCCCCCAAACCTTCCAGCTTTATTGTCACCCCATCTCCTGTCACAGGGCTGTTGCTCAGGCCTCAGCCTGGAGATGGGAAGGAGAGTTTTTAAATGGCAGTTGAATACATCCAGGACAGGAGATGGGAGGAAGAAATTCCTTTTTAAATGACTTATCCAATCTCGCTGTGAAATCCACTCATCTCTTACCCCCTTTGTCTCCCCTGATCTGATATTGCTAGGAAAGAAACTCCCAAGATTTTCCCACCTCCTCCTGCACTTCTGATCTTGGAGGCGAAGCTGCTGTCTTGGGTCCCTACCCCAGACTTGTTAGAAAGGTGGAGGGCCCAGGCACACTTAATACCTCTCATTCTCCATCTCCCAACTCACAGACATTATCTTCACTGAATCCACGTGCAGTTTGTTGTCCCTTATTTGAAATGGGCCAGGGACCCTTCCCCAGGGTATATGTGAATCTTTCCCAGACCTGAGGAAGGCCAAAAGTTCATCCAACATCTCTCACCCAACTATACCCTTGCTGTAATTATCTACCTGCCAGAGAAGTAGAGCCTTGACAAAAAATTCTTCACTGGACCAAAGTGTTGCCTCTTTTCTTGCTGTTAACCAACTAATGATGTCAGGGCATCTCAAAATGCAGGCTGTCTCTCTGCAGTGCCTCAGCTGCACCCTCCTTTCTCCTGTCTGTCTCGTCAGCTCCCAATTGCCCATGGTAATGGTGGAAGTGGGGAGAGGGAAGAAATGTCTGCTGTATTATTCATGCACATGCTATTCCTTTAGGACTGCCTGTTTTTTTTCCTCCTGTGCTGGAAGCAGCTCCCCTGAGGTCCCAGCCCCTTCTCTCTCCCAAGGGGATCAGGCAGTTCACAGCTTCCATCAGCTGAGCTCCCTGCCAGCAGCCCCTGACCATCACACCCCTTCCTACTGCCTTAGCTCCCTGAGGGGGGAGGGGAGGGGAGGGGGAGGGCTGGTTGCCACTGTCTATCATAGGTCCCCAAAAGGAGGTTCATGTCTCTAAGACCGAAAGGCTTCAAAAGCAAAATGTTCCCCAGGGACCAGCTGCACTCACCCCAAAATCTCATTGCCCTTGATGAGAGGGGCTTTGCTGTGGCATTGTTGGTCCCAACTGAAGGTTACAATAAGAGTAGGAGGTGGGTTTCCAGGAGAGCTGGGGAACTCAACACTACTGCTATGTCAAGGCACTGCACTGGGGAGAGGTTGCAGGTGGGAAGCAGATTTTAACCCGCTATCCGAGGCAGAGGACAAGGAAGCCCGCAATGACCTCTGCTAATTCCCTCAGCACTCTGGGGTGGAGATCATCAGGACCAGCTGATTTAAATACGTCCAGTCCCTCCAGAAGGTCCCTGACTAGGTGTTCACTGACCCTAGGCCTGGGTATGCCTCCCCTGGGACATACGGGGGTCCTAGTGGGGGGTTGAGCTGGTCCCTGCTCAGAAAAATGGAGGCAAAAAAGTTGTTAAATAGGTTAGCTTTGCTGTCTGGTGCGACGACCAGATTTCCTAGCGTGTCTTGCAGAGGCCCCACGTTACCCGGTACCTTCTTTTTACCCGCTATGTATTTAAAAAAGGACTTCTTGTTGTCCTTGATCCGGGTCGCTAGTCCCAGTCCCATCTCCACCTTGGCCTTCCTGACCGCCCCCCTGCAGCCCCGAGCAACCAAGGTGTAGTCCTCCCTGGTGATGGCCCCTCCCTGCCATTGGGTGTTCCCCTTCTTTTAGCCAGATGTTCCCGTATGCTTTTGGTGAGCCATGGGGGGTTTTGCGCCCTCTTGCCCCCTTTGATCCTTGTTGGGATTACCTCCCTTTGGACTTGGAGGATCGTCTCCTTAAGGAACGACCACGCTTCCTGGACTCCCGACTCCCCTCCCCTCCAGGACCTCATTGCCTCCCCAACTAGTCTCCTTACCTCATTGAAGTCTGCCCTCCTGAAGTCCAGGGCTGCTGCCTTGCTGCAGGCCTTTGCCACCCTGCACTGGATGGTAAATTCCAGCATGCTATCGCCCAGGTGGTCGAGCACCCACAGACCCCTCACCAGGTCATCGCCTGTGGCCAGCACCAGATCCAACAAGGTGTCTCCCCTGGTGGAACTGTGCACCTCCTGGGTTAGATGGAGGTCCTGTAACTTGGCTAGGAGCCTACATGAGTGGTCAGACCTAGCTGACTGCTCTTCCCAGCAGATGTCTGGAAAGTTCAGGTCACCCATGATGACCACGTCCTTTGACTTAACTACCTGCATGAGCTGACCTGAGAATTCCCGGTCTAGGTCTTCTCCCTGGTTGGGAGGTCTGTAGCAGACCCCCACCGTTAAGTCCTTTTCCCCCCGACCCCCTTGTATTCTGACCCAGAGCACTTCAGTCTGCCCCTCCTCTGACCCATCCATTTTTCAGCCCCCTCAAAATTTCTGTCTTCCTTTTTGGCCAAAATTCTGCCCCAAAAAGAAATTTCCACAGTGGGTTTTGAGGAAAAGTGAGGGGAAATACCCTAGACACAGACACAGTCAACAGCACCAGCAGGGAGGGAATTCAGAGGGAGGTCTGTCCACAGGTGCTCAGCAAACACCAGGCACCTTCCCCATCTCTGATACAGAGAGGAGACCCCCCCGATACGCCCTCCCTCCCTCCCTCCCTCCAGCCCTGCCCACCTGCCCAGGCTCCCACTCCAGCA